TGTTTGGCTCCCAGTTTTGAGTACCAAATTTTCTCTTTATATCAGATTTGCGTTGTCTTGTCACTCTGTTGACGGAAAATAGGAATAAAACCATTCAGCCTCCCAAGCCTGTTTCACCATCAGTTAGATCACAGATGATCAATGCCTCAATTTAATTTACCTGCCTTTGTTCTGTATCCTTTGGTACTCTTACTGAAAAAAATCTGTCTATCTCAGCCTCAAAAACTTTAATTGCTCCATCATCCACAGCCTTTATAGGCAAAGAATTTCAAATTTTCACTGTCTCCAGTGTAAAGAAATGGTTTCCCTCCTAAAAGGTAACTTAATTTTAATAGATACCTTATGTAGTCTCAGTTTAACTATTCTTATTTGAATCATCCAGCTATTGACTGAAGGATATGTTGTGCTATGAATAACAGACATGTGTTTGCTACGATTGAAAATAGTTTTTTTTAAATCACAGCTGAGTACTGGATCTAAATTTACTATTTCTATTTGATATCTATTTCACATTACTAATCTGAATTTCCTTTGCTGCACTCAAAATGCTTTTTCGACTTCACTGGGGACTTCAAAAGCAATGCAATTCCTAAGCGTAAAATCTACTTTCACCTTGCAGGATCAGCAGTCATTTTAAAGTACGTTCTGAGATGATAGAGGCTCTTTACTAGCTGTTATTCTTGGAATCTCTTACAGTAAAACAAAATGGTCAATTCTTTCTTGTTAATGAAAAAGAACATAAAAGAACCTGTTGACCATTACCAGAGAGGTATTTTCTGTATAAAAATATAGGTATGTATTTCTTTTCATTGCACTTTACTAACTATAAGCTCCAACTACATATTTTAGACCAGCTTGGCCTTTTGGGAGAACAGCAGGTACCACAACTGACCACTCAAGTGATCAGCCCTCGCATTACAAGTTTTGACTAATGGACACATTAGATTCCAAGTCCCGTACAGTATTAGAGAAAGTCTTGTTTGCATCATTGAGATGATTGACAGTGCGCTACCAGGGGAACAACTGTTTAATCCAGTTGGCTGCAAGTCTTTGGTGTAAAGACTGTAAAGCTAGTACATTATAATTTTCAGGCACGCTTCCCCCCTGGCTTTTAGTTGACAATTGATTGACTTAAGTGTTTTCACAAATTAATCAAAATGAAATTCCCTTAACTAACCAGTGATGTATGGGGCAGGTTTCTCTTGCAATACCTCCACTGATATTCATGCAGATTTAGCACTGGTTATGGAAACAAATGCTGTGACATCGGTGCATTAACTGAGGGATAATTTACCAATTCAGTTTGCAGTACCAACCCTTTTGCTCATGGTTTTCTGATTTACATCATCAATAGACAGGGTTCTTCCTGGCTAATCAGCCCTGCTGTTCTCATTCCGAGGAGAGTTTCTGTATTTTTAGGTAATTATTTTAGCCACAGCTACGATTAATTTTTAACTGAAGCAATACTTGTAGCCATCCAGATTCCACTTTGCTGATATGAGTTTTGTTCCAGTTGAAAATAATTTTAGGATGCCTTTTCAAGCAGTATTTAAAAATAAGCCCCAGTTGGTGAGAGGACAATTTTTATTCATTGCCCTTGGGATGTAGGTAAAGCTGTCGGGGCCACATGTACTGCCCGTCCATAGTTGCTTCTTAAAGCCAGTGGTGGCCATTCTTCTTGAACCACTGCATGATACACTTAAATTGAAAATAAAATATTCTAGCAGAGAAATGTTATTGGAGTTCTCTTAGGATTAATGTACAAATGCATCATGGCTAAACAATATCTTAGTTGCCAGTTCATTACCACAAGCATTACTGTACCATATATTGTCCGAATCCTACCTTGCAAATTGGGGAAATTACTTTCAATCATTTTGATTATTAGTGAACTGGCATTATAAAAGTAACTGTTGAAGCCGCTGGACGTTTCTTTGGTAAATGACTAACTGGATCACCAGTGTCCTTCAGGAAATCGATCTGGTCACTCTAGCTTGCCTGCTCCTTCCCTGTGTCTCCAGTCCAAAGGATTTCCTTTACCTGCTTAGTGAGGTAGCGTTGAAACAAACAGCACTTGTACAAACAGTAGCTTATGATGCACAAAAGAAGGTTTAGCAGCATCTTCTCAGGGTAAAAGACGCCATGTATTTTTTTCAATGTTGCCCATATCCATGTATACCTAACTGATTTGCACCAATCTGAGTTGTAAGATTACTGGCTATGAGACTACGTAGCTCAGGTTTTCCCTTACACCAAAAGCACATGTGGTTAAAACAGACAAACAGAATCTGTCACAAAAAGCACAGGGCTGCAAAACAGCATTCATTCAAGCTTCTTCAAGTTCCTTTTCTTTGAATACTCCTTTTTTTTTAAATCTTTCTATTTTCTTGCTCACACTTTTCAATCTCCATTTGTCTCTGTAGCTTGGCTGTGAGACTTGCCTATGTTTTTTTCTTGCACCAATGACACAGCTGCAACCAATATTCTGAATCAGTTATAAGATTTTTCTGCCAGGACTCCAGGGTGTGCTTTAATACAAGTCATTTGTGTTTGTTGTCAGTGCTGGGATAGTCTTTGCTTTTCTCTCTTGCTAAAAATGCAAAACAAAATGCTAGATTTTATTGATGAGATGAAAATATTTGGGAGATGGGAAATTATCAATCTAAGGGAGTTGGTGACTTGATAGTTTAATTTGGATAAATATGAGGTTATTCACTTTGGAAGCAAAAACAAGAAGGCAGATTACTACCTGAATGGCTGTAAATCGGCAGTGGGGAGTGTGAAGTGGGACCTGGGTGCCCTTGTGCACCAGTTCATAGAATCCCTACAGTACGGAAACAGGCCCTTTGGCCCAACAAGTCCACACCGACCCTCAAAGTATCTCACCCAGACACTATGGGCAATTTAACATGGCCAATTCACCTAACCTGCACATCTTTGGATTGTGGGAGGAAACTGGAGGAAACCCACACAGTCGCCCGAGGGTGGAATTGAACCTGGGTCCCTGGTGCTGTGAGGCAGCAGTGCTAACCACTGAGCCACTGTACCACCCCCGTTGCTGAAGGTAAGCATGCAGGTGCAGCAGGCAGTAAAGAAAGCAAATGGTATGTTGGCCTTCATTGCGAGATGTTTCGAATACAGGATAGGGATGTGTTTTGCAATTATAAAGAGCCTTAGTGAGGCCACACCTAGAATATTGTGTGCAGTTTTGGTCTCCTTTTCTGAGGAAGGATGCTCTTGCTCTTGAGGGAGTGCAGCAAAGGTTTACCAGGCTGATTCCAGGGATGGCGGGACTGATTTATGGGGAGAGATTGACTGGGTCAGAGACTTATAAAATTCTAACAGGACTGGACAAGGTAGATGCAGGGAAGATGTTCCTGATGGTGGGTGTGTCCACAGTGTGAGGATTCAGGGTAGGCCATTTAGGACGGAGATGAGGAGACATTTCTTTACCCAAAGAGTGGTGAGCCTGTGTAATTCATTACCACAGGAAGTAGTTGATGCCAAAGCATTGAATGTATTCAAGAAGCAACTAGAATGAGATCAAAGGCTATGGGGAGAAAGGAGGATGAGGCTTTTGAGTTGGATGATCAATCATGATTGTGATGAATGGCAGAGCAGGCTCGAAGAATGAAATGTTCTCCTCCTGCTCCTATCATCTGTGTTTCTATGTTTGATGTTATTAGAGTTATAGAGCCATAGACTTGTACAGCACAGACACAGACCCTTCAGTCCAACTCATTCATGCTGACCAGATTTCTACATTAATCTTGTCCCATTTGCCAGCATTTGGTCCATATCCCTCGAGGTTCTTCCTATTCATAGACCCATCCATTTGCCTTTTAAATGTTGTAATTGTACTCACCTCCACCACTTCCTCTGGCAGCTCATTCCATACACACACCACTCTCTGTGAAAATGTTGCCCGTTAGGTCCCTTTTAAATCTTTACCCTTTTACCTTAAGCCTACGCCCTCTAGCTTTGGACTCCCTTACCCTGGGGAAAAGACCTTGACTATTCACCATATCCATGCCCCTCATGTTTAATGAACTTCTATAAGGTCGCTCCTCATCCTCTGACTCTCCAGGGAAAGTAGCCTCGGCCTCTTCAGCATCTCCCTGTAACTCAAACCCTCCAAGCCTGGCAACATCCTTGCAAACCCTTTCAAGTTTCACAACATCTTTCTTGTGGCAGGGAGGCCAGAATTGCATGCAGTATTCCAAAAGTGACCTAATCAATGTCCTGTATAGCCACAGCATGACCTCCCAACTCCTATACTCAATGCACTGACCAATAAAGGCAAGCTACCAAATGCCTTCTTCACTACCCTGTCTATCTGTGACTCCGCTTTCAAGGAACAATGAACTTGCACCCCAAGGTCTCTTTGTTTGATAACACCTCCCCCACGCCCCCCCCCCACCAAGGACCTTACCATTAAGTTTATAAGTTCTGCTCTGATTTGCCCTACCAAAAGGCAGCACCTCACATTTATCTGAATTAAAGTCCACCTGCCACTGCTCAGTCCATTTGCCCATCTGATCTTCGCTGTCAACTACAAAACCAATTTTCGTGTCATCTGCAATAACACTGTAGTTCTGAATATGAGCCATTATAACAGGAGTCAATGTTGCATTGACTGTCTCTTTAGGAAGTTAAAATCTAGCAAATTTAACAAGGATTTTTAAGGGCTGTTCTCTGCTCTGGAACTGTTTGCAGATAGAGAAGATAGGAGAATAAAATTGGGGAAAAATACTTAACCTCATGTAAATGTTAAAAGCATCTAATTTAGAAACAGCTATGAACAGCTATAAATAAAACTATCCCTTGAGTTTTGTACTAAAATGGGAGACCTCAAGCTTTTTGGTTATGTTTTATTGTCTCTTGATTCCATTTACAATTTGCTGAGTCATATAGCTCTGCAGTAGTAGATTCATGGCAAACTACACTGCACTGTATATTATAATTTTACTGTTTGATAAGCTGCTTTAATGTTTTCTCAGGTCAAAAAGAAGGAGGAAAGCGGAGGAAACAACGGCACAGGGAAGAACTGAAGAAGAAAAAGACAACAAAAATGAAGCATTAATTGTAAGGTGCAGTGGGTGACCTTTGAACTCCAGTATACAGTTATTTTTCATGTTAATTGATATAGCTTTATAGAATGTGAATTAAACATGACACAGCATGTGAGTGTTTTCTATTTTTGTGAATTATTTTTAATTGCTTCACAAAATAAGAGATTGATGAGAAAGGATAGATTCTGTAATTTAGTAATTGATGCTTGTGAAGCCAGATCATGGAATCACTTCTGTATTAACCAAAAGTCTGACAGGTCTCAGTGGGGACAAATCTGTTTCGTAGTAACTTGACTTAGTGATATTTCCATGAGTATTTAGTACAAGCAGCAACAATTTGCATTTATGTAGCACGCAAACCTTAGAAAGGCCTCCCCGAGGCTTCACAGAGCTGCAAGGCAAAATAAATGCAAAATGAAAAAGCACAGATTAAAGTGGGCAGGCTGGATGAAAATCTTACATCTGGATTTTAGCACTGTATTTAAAATGAAAATGCATAAATATGAGAAATTCCTTCAGCAAGACCCCGACCCCCCTCGCCCCTCGTCCTCCAAACCCTTCACAGTCCCATTTCTGCCTCTTACCCCAAGGTCCATCCATTTCAGAACAAGGTAGCAAAGCAGTGGCAGAGAGCTACAGGGGTGGTATTAGAGCAAAAAGACCGTGGCAGCTGAAGGCATAGTTGCCATATACGGATGAAGGGAAGAAGGATTTAGAGTAGGCACATCAGAAGGTGGAAATTTAAACCCTGAATTTTGTTCCCAGGTTGGGTGCACAGAGGTGGATTACATCCTGGCTCCATGCACCCAGTCTTTAAAGTGAGTTGCCCACACACCCCCCATTCAGTCCAGGACTGAGTTAGATATTGTGCCAGGTAACCCAGGAGGAGCTAAAGTGGACTGTACAGAATGCTGCCTCATTGCCAGCTGTGTTCAAAAATACCTTCAGCCTTTGTGTTCCACTGCTCCATCTCAAGAAGAATGTTCCATCCTTGCCAACTCATGCCACCCAGGGCCCTCTTACCCATTCACCATGGCATCTCATACACCTGTGCTACACTGTACCCTCTATGACCTCTTACACTCCCAATGCCAACTTAATTACTACTTCCACACACTATCTCCCCCTTCAGCTACTGTACATTTCTACAGGTGCAACAGTCCCGGGATCCCAAAGAGAACTTTGCCAGAGAGTACTGAATTTACATCCGTAGTCTTTTTTGCTTGTTACAGGCCTCCTTTAAAAACACATTTCGGAATTAAAAGTTGAAAATGTCATGATACTTTGTAACCATGATCCATTGTCACGGCAGTTCGCAAGGCCACAAAAAAAAACAACCTGAGTCTTTATATGTAGAGGCATAGAATTGAAAAGCAGAGAAGTTATGCTAAATGTATTAAATCTTGGTGAGACCAGTTGGTGTGCTGTCTGTGGCTCTTAGGAAAGGATGGGCAAGCTGTCTTTTGTCTTGAAAGAAGAAAGCTGAGATTGACCTCATGGCGGTCTTTCAAATGATGCAAGCTTCAGATAGAATAGGTACTGTCAGAACATTACTGCTTGTGGGAAAGAGCATGAGGAGGAGAGGCCATCAGTCACAGAGAAACCCAATACAGAATCCAGAAAAGATTTCTTTGACCAGAGTTTGATGAGGATGTGAAACTCACTATCATTGGGAGTGTCGAAATAATGTCAGTACTTGTAAGGGGAAGCGAGACAACCACATGTGGGAGAAGGGAATAGAGGTTTATTTAGTTGAGGAATGAAGGAAGAGGTTAGGAGAATGGATGGACTGTGTTTGTGAACATGGAGAGGTTAGGCTGAATTACTGGTCCCTGCTGTATATATGCCCCACATGACCCTGTAAAACCTTTGTATTTCGTCACTTATCAGAATGACATTATTGATTAGAGCAGTCAGTTGTGATAGTAAGAATAGCGCACATTTATAGTTTAACAGCAACAGGGATGTATTGGTACAAATATAATTTTCCCTTTAGCACATTGATACCACAAATACCAATATAGAAGATTCTTTAGACTTAACTTTGGTAGATAGATACTTGAAACACAAATGGAAGGCTAAGAACTTTCCAGCATGCAACTGTAACCATTCCGAACAGCTCATGAAACATGTTGCCCCATTCACCAATACAAAGGAAACTTGCAACAATATGCCCAGCTCCAGTTTGATCACCTGAATCTAAAATTATAATTCTTGCTTTAAATCATCTACAAGAAAGAAGGTACCAATGCATTTTTTAAAATGTTTTCATACAAATTGTTAGAAATTGTATCTGATATTCCTCATAAGAAGATGAGCCTTGGAATGACCTGGTCTTCTTCCTCAAAAGAGATCGACCATATCCTGAGTCCAAGCAATATCTCCAGTGGCTGAGCAATTAGACCTTCACCGTAACCATGACCTGATAAAGATGGAACACAAAAATTGACCAACTGGAAGGATAAACCAGTAAAGCTTGCGAATGATGCATACTGGTTGTGTATATTCAGAACAGTGCCACAGTATGACCAGTTAAGTTCATTTCCAATTATTACTGTTTATTTACTGATTTTTCCCTCTGGGAAGACTTTGACCTGCCGGACAGAGGTTGTCCAGACAGGATCGGGTGGGAATAGGTTCCAACTTAATTCAACCATAATGTTTGGGTTTGAGTTAACAACATTCACATATCCCCATAGGCAGGTTTCCAGGCACCAGAGGTGGAAGGGGAAGGTCCTAAAAATCATTTTCCTGCTGCCTTGTCAACTGCCCTCAGCCAGGCTGAAACTTTATAGTGTGTGGACAAGGCCTATGGCCCCCATTGAGGCCCTTAGGTGGCAATTATTGGCCATTTATCTGACCTTTCTAATAGTGTCCTGGGAAATGCTTATCCTTCCACTACTCACTAAAGACAACGTTCATCTGGTTATTATCACATTGATGTTTATATTGCTGTGTACAAATTGTCTTCTACATCTACAATACAACAGTGGCTACATATCAAACGTACTTTATTGACCATGACACACGTTGAGACACCCTGATCTCATGAGAGGCGTTATATTTATTTCTTTCAAACTTGAGTACTCCTGATATCAGGTTCTTACACAACAAAGGATGCCTGCTTTGATGACGAATTGGGAGACATAATGAAGGAACTGTATGCATCTCAGCGTAAGTCACTGCTTTCTTGATAGGGAGCTGTAGAAGACAGTTGAAAATATATGAGAAAGGAGCCTTTGTCTCAAGATTAGTTTATTACTCTAAACTAGATTGGACTTATACTCTAGACTTAATTCATAGTTTTACAACATATCCCAAAATTAAATGTCTGCTTGGATGGGCTGTAATTTTGTGCTGCTGTGTAACATCTCATGTTGAAGGAAGGTTCAGGAAAACAGTGGCAAGTAGCGAGGCAATTACACAATTTAGTGCAATCTTTGATATTTCAGTGAGTCCAGGGATAATTTCCAAAAGGAAATTAATGACTCAGGCCAGAATTCCAAGTGCATTGCATTTAGTTCCCATTTAAGGTGTTAAAAAAAACAGCAAATGCTCTCCACCAAGTTGTTTAACACACTTTGAAATATTGAGTCATGATCGCAGCACCAGATCTTATGATAATGTGACATGCTGCATATAAAACATTCAACAGCACAGCACAGGAACAGGTTCTTTGGCCCACTATGCCTGCAATGACCATTTATGCCATTCTAAACTTATCCCATCTGCCTGCACACAGTCCATATCCCACTATTCCCTGCCTGTTCGCATGTCTGTCTGAATGTCTCTTAAATGTTGCTAATCGTATCTACATCTATCATCTCCTGTGGCAGCGCGTTCCAGGCACTTATCACCCTCTGTGTAAAAAACTTGCCTCTCACATCTCCATTAAACTTTCCCCCTCTCAACTTAAACCTATGCCCCCCAATATTTGATATTTCCATCCTGGGAAAGGGACTCTGACTATCCATCCTATCCATGCTTCTCATAATTTTATATACTTATATCAAGTCACCCCTCAGCCCCTGATGCTTTAGCAAGTTGGATTGAAGTTTGGCCAACTTCTCCTTCTAGGTGATACACTCCAATCCAGGCAACATCCTGGTAAACCTCTTTTGCACCCTTTCCAAAGCCTCCACATTCCTTCTTATAGTGTGGCAACCAGAACTGCACACAATACTCCAAATGTGGCCTAACTAAAGTTTCTACAGTTACAACATGACTTGCTAACATTTATACTCAATGCCCTGACTAGTGAAGAATTTCTTCAGTCTTCTGTGAACAGTACATACTTGGGTAATTTTCCACCTTGTAAGGTTGATGCACATTTTTCACATCTCAATGTTTAATATCCTATGATAGCATGCTGATTAGTGTGTCTGTTCAAAATATGTCTGTGTGCAGTTTGAATTATCTTCATTACCATCCTAGTATAGAGTAACTTTTTGCTGGAAAGTCTTATGTGAAAAGACTAAACAATACACTAACTCACAACGATACATCACAGTCTGCCATGTAATTCGCTTTCGGCTTTCCTTCTTCTTAGCCAGTCCTTTGAGGCCAAGGATGACTACCAAATTGTGAACTGCATCAAACTTTGGGTTTTCTGGCCTAATCTACCTGTGTCTTTATTTTAACATCAGAAATTATTTTTTATGCCCTGGGCATGCATTAATTTCAAATGATGAGTCTGTTCCTTTTGCGAGTCTCACCCTGTCTGAAATATTGGTATTAGAGGGTTGGTGGTGGTGAGGAAATATCAAGGATTGTGGGATGGCAATGACTCAGTAGCTTGTACAATGTTTAAGAATGGAGGACTGAGGTAGGCACATGTTTCCATGTGTTTTCAGGGGAAGATCTTTCCTCCTCTGATTAGGTAATTTCATGAAATACTGCATTCTTTCCAATATGTAACGGCACCAAAATGCCCTTCTCAAATACTTCGGTAGAAATTTTCTGATGTAATGACAGCGAGTAACTGTGCTTCAAACAGAAGGTAATAATATATCTGTGGACGTGAATATCTGTTGAACTGTGAAGGCAAAATAATGTGCTTTGGCTCTATAACTGACAGCAATATCTGCATTTAATTGTAGCTTCTGGAATTCCCAATTTTAATTGCCCATTATTAGTCACGGTAACTTGAGTTGTCCAGACTTTAATCTCTGAAATTCCCTCTTTAAACCTCTCTGCCTCTGTACTGGGTTCTCCTTTAAGGCATTCCTTGAAACCTATTTCTTTCAGCAAGATTTTAGTCATGTGTTCTAAAATGTCCTTACACTGTTTGGTATCATGTTTTGTTTGATAACACTCCCACAAAGCACCTTAGGATGTTTCACTAGGTGCTATATAACTGCAAGTTGTTTTGTATTTACATGTCAATTGTAGCATGTAAACAGTTTGACTTCACATTTACACCACAATTAAAGTGTAAATTGCATCTGAATCCCGAGTACATTTTGATTCAAACTCAGTTCAGACCTTCACACAGTTTTCAATATACGCAAAACAAAACTGCTTCACACTGACCCTAAAGTTGTGCTTGAATGAATTCTAAGGTTTGTATCATTAACACATGCACAGACAAAATAACCAGTCCACACAAGGTCAGAGGAAATACATGCATGAAAAATAATTTAAAGCAGCAGAATTTAGAGCAAAATTTTGCACAGGGCATTATCGCACTTGTTAAAAAAAAGGATTTTGTTCAGGTCATAGCATCCTTGAGATGAACTGTGATGTGGTTGAAACTCTCACTAGCAAAGCAGGAGCCTCTCTTAAAACCTTCAGAAGTGTACGATTCATAAGTAATTGGTGACAAGTTGCTTATGATAAAGTTGACCATCCTTGTATAATAATGAGTGCTGATTTTCTGTACAGTTGTGATATAACTTTCTGTTTATACAAGGTATGGTCATACTCTCAGTGTTAATTATACAAGTTATAGTCATACTGTCAATGTTACAGTTTTGTCTGAAATGATTGTATCCGAAATGTAAAGAAGTTGAAATAAATTCCACACATAATAGATCACATGTACAAAAGACCACACTCACTGTACAATTCTCTGTGTGCTATTTTTATGCAGCTGTTAAGCCATTTAATAGAAAGAGTGAACATTTTTAAAAATTCCAGCCTGGAATGTGAACATCACTGGCAAGGCTGTTGTTTATTCCCCAGGCCTAGTTACCCTTTTAAGTTTGGTGGTAAGTTGTTGTCTTCACTGCTGGAATCCAAATGGTGAAGGCTCTCCTGCAATGCTGTTTGTGGTGGTGTTACCAGATTCTGACCCAGTGGAAATGAAATAGTACTGTTCATCACCTCATAATGTGAGCAAGCATACATTACTGATGAATTACCCTTTCAAACACAGCAGCCAATGTATGCACAAGGTCCTACAAACAACAATTGAATCAATAACCAGAAGGCTGTTGTTTGAGAGTGTTCATCCAGGGAGGTAAGTTGCCCTTTGACTTGTGCTGTTTCTGTTTAGATATGCGTTTTTCTTTAAATCTGTTAAAAATTTAGACAGGGCTTCAATTTAATATCATCAGTTGATCCAGTTAATATCATCTCCTCGTACAGTAGTGCAGCATTACCTCAATATTATACTACAGTGACTGAAGTCCTAAAATGGAGTTTAATTTCTGATGCTTTGACAGACTGTCAGAGTGCTGGCCAAGCCTGGGTCACCTGATCTAACGTGTGTTACCAACTCTATAACCTAAGTGCTGCTAGTAAAATAAAAATATTGCACACAGGAATCCATACTTTGGACCGTAGAGATTACATCTTGGAATTGTTACCCTAGTATCTCATGCTGTAACATTACTTCCTATTCGCATACATTGATAAAAAAAATTGTTAGTTTGTGATAACATTAGTTATTTCATCACAGTTAACTTACATTGACACTTTGTTTTCCCATATGTTCTCTAATTGATTTGTCAAAAGGCAATCAGTGCAACAAATAATTCAATACAATTCAGAAATGCTCAAAAATTAAGGTTTCATCATTTCTAGACCTTCTTTGGCAAAAGATCCAATCCTTTATTAGTGCCTAAATCTACATGCGGTTGAAAGCATTTTTTGTAGATCTCGGCATAAAATGTCGCTATGTAATAAATATTGTTCCAAGTATCAAATTGCTGAAGAGTTGCAGTATTGAGTCTATATTATTGCCTCATTTCTATGTGTTTGCTGCAATGTGTCTTCTGTTCTCCACACAAAGTCTGTACTCAACATAAATGCTTACTGAGTTTGATCAGGATGTTATAGTGAAAGGAGTCCACCCTATTGTCAGAAAACTAAAATCTTGCAGATGGTTCTGTCGTGCTTATTAACAAAAATGGTGCAAAATTGAGTTTTAATTTAACCTTGCTGCAGTCACAATTTGGCCCTGAAGAAAGGGTGCAGTTCACAGTACTGGGCACAGAGACATAGAAATCTAGCAAAAGATAGAGCTTCTGTGCAGAAAATGACTGAAGTGTAAAGCTGTGTCTGAACTGTGTCCTTGAATAGTATGAGATGGCATAGGATCCTTGCTAACGTGTATTGATGGGTTTAAAAAAAACAGAAATGACTGCACAAACAAACACTTTCTAAATTGTGAACTCTGTAGGATCTATATGAGGGGTGATTGTCTACCATAATGTCCATTAAAAAAAATCTGTTAAATCTGTGTGTATCTTTACTTTCTCTACAATCTCATTGAACAGCCCTCAACTGCAGTTTTTAGATTTGTTTCTTTCAGCTTTGTGTTAGGGGTGCCACAAGCGCCCCAGTCTCCAGTCAGCTGTCACTACCACAAAATAATGGACATTAGTGTTCAAGCCCAACTTGCTTCTTGGATCAAGGCCTAGGACTACCAGGGTAATTGATATGGTTACTCTTCTCTTGTGAAATGCAAGAAAATACCCTGGAGGCCTGTTGTTTTTGGTCAGGCAGCCAAAGGCTCCTGTAGGGGTCATAGGCTCATGCCATGATCAAGGCTTCTGCTCTGGTTCTGGGAATGGATCCTTTACCAGTAGGTGACCTTTGTGTAAATGAAGGCTTGGCAATTACCAGAAATGACCAGCAGGTTCAAGTCAGCTCAGCTCAGCTTCCCCCGACTTGCCCACAATTGGAAGGTGCAGGAAGCTCACCTATAATGTTTTTCAGTGTTTCTTCAGTGGGGTGGCACGGTGGCTCAATGGTTAGCGATACTGCCTCACAGTGCCAGGAACCCAGGTTCAGTTTCACCCTCAGGCAACTGTCTGTGTGCAGTTTGTACATTCTCCCCACATCTGCTTGGGTTTCTTCCGGGTATTCTGGTTTCGTCCCACAGTTCAAAGATATGCAGATTAGGTGGATTGGCCATGCTAAATTGCCCATAGTGTCCAGTAATGTGCAGGCCACGTGAATTAGTCCTGGGAAATGCAGGGTTATAGGGATTGGGTGGCATGCTCTTTGGAGGGTTGGTGTGATTCAATGGGCTGAATGGGCTGTTTCCAAACTGTGGGGATTCTATGATTCAATTTGTTTTTACCTTCCTATTGAAAATTCAAAGCTCTCACAAGTAAATGAACAATTTGAGATAAGGTAATTGAGATCCAGAAGTAAATTTCCCTTTGTATTTTATAGAGAAATTTTTTCTTATCATTGAATTCTAACACAGAATTATGTAGATAGAACTCGCATCACAGAAACTGGTTAATCCTATCACTCCGTTGCTGTGGTTTATACTCTGTATGATTGCGTCAAGTCCCACCCCTGCACTAGACCCTGTGCTTGCCATAAACGTGGAACATTGCCTGAGAACTCAACCTCGTTGTAAAAAAAAGTGGAAGCCAGTTCAGAAAAGTCTGTGGTAGAGATCAAATATTTTATTTCAAGCCCATATGCTATTAGCAATCCTTTTCACCCAAGTGTAAATTGGTATTTTATGTAGCGCATTGCAGTATTTATCAGTTGTCACTTCTTTGGTTTGCCTTTGCTTCTGACTCCTTCTCACATTCATCCTTCCATCTTGTTATGAAAGCACCTACTAACAGGGCAAATGTAGGGGGTGGGGGATGGGAGTCACCCTGCTATTTCCTTTTTTCTTATTTTGAACTTGAAAGCAGGACAATAATGACTTAGAAATGTAATGGGACTAAACAATGTGAAGACGCTTCACAAACATCAGTAAAATGCTGCCTGATCTTCTGGAGGTTGTAAGGATCTGGCTGTTTCTGCTCTGTGTGTTGTTTCAGCACACCCACACTGTCTGGTTCAATACTAATCCGCCATTCCTTCAATGATATTTGAAAACTTCATACTTCAGTAATCCAAATCTTGACAAGGACAATTGGATGGCAAAGAATATTATAATTTCTCTAAATCATTTCTAGCACATTAGTTCGCATAGACAGTACTGATGCTTTGCTTTTATATTTTCATTGCTAATTTCCCCTCCCTTTCCCCATCTCTGCTTTAACTCACTGCTGTGATACGATTGCATGAGCCCTGGAAATGGTCTCACACCTCACTCTTTAATGCTGATTATTTTTTGAGTGAGCAGCAACATCAGTGGTTGAGCGGGGATCAGTCTATTTAAATTGCCCTCCTCTTCCCCAGACACCCAGCTCTCCTTGTTTCCGCAATGTTTTATGAGGACACAAAGGTGAAATCAAGCCCCATGCACTCAAGCACATGCAAACACCAACAACAACTTGTATTGGTATGGTGTCATTAATGTAAGATACAGCAGCATAGTCACTCTCATTTGCTGTAAATGAACAAAAAGGATATTACAAAGAAGAAAATTGATTGATCCTTGATCCAGGATACTACAAATAAACAAAGTGCCTAATTTAGCAGGAAAGGCATCCCCCATGACAGAGATAAAATGCCCTCCATTTTAAAGACACTTACAGACAGCTTACTGTTGATACATTTTCATCCCATAGACCTGCAAATCTTCAAGCTGAATTTATGAACTTAGAAAGTTGGAAAAAAGATGGGGCAGTGGTAATTGTAATTATAAACAAAAATATATATGAATAATGGGAAGAAAACATTGTGGGAGGTGCATTCTAAGGGCGTAAGGATCTGAAAGGGTTAATCCTGAGGAGTGCCTTAAGCATCACCCACTATGATGATGTGATGGGGAGAACAGATTATGATCTCAAAGGTAAGACCTACTGTTTGGATCTGTAACAATATCTATTGTTTTAATGTAACTTGTACATAGTCGCTGTCATATGACAAACTGCATCTTGTTTAAGTCAAGAACCAATTCTCATTGGACTACTATGTGGTTTTCCTCTAGCACTCTAAACTAAGCAGGCAGTTTAGGTCTCTACCAGGAAAGAGGTAACAATCTACCAGATAGTTCACGCAAAATAATGAGCAATGGTGAGGAATCGTTTTACAACACACTTTAACAATGCACAGCATGCACTGTGATGTCTGTGACTAAAAGAA